GGCGTGTACTTGCAAGCCGTCGCCACGTCGAACCGCAGCTGGCCGGGAGACTGCCTCCATCGGCGGCAACAAAAATCCCTCCCCCCATAGCAACCACCCCGGCACGCGGAGTCGTTTCTCAAGCGCACGCAGAACAACGAATCAAACACGGCGGGGCTGTTTATAGTCAACGCCCAAGGTCGTTTAGCCAAGGCCAACTACCAAGTGCGGGTGTTTTTTTCATCCCTTGGTTTTGGATCCGGACGGAAGGGACATCCGAGGTTGTGGCTCCCTGGTGCAAGAAGTCTATCGGGGATGGACAGACTCCCCTTTAGTAAAACGTGGCTTAGTGAAAACGACCTGAGGCCCAAACCTGGCGGGCGCAAGCCTGGAAAATAACGGCCACGGCGCCCTCTCGAGAACCGAAAACGGACAATTCACTAATCGACGTGTCACTGTTGGCGGTTCTGTCCACCCCCGAGTCTGAGTGACGGAGGGGGTGCGTCCGGGCCTGCCCCTACGGCCGCCTTCGCTCGCCGAGGGGCCGCACAAAAGGGGGTCTTGGGCCCCCTTTCTGGTGCCTACTGACGGCACGCTGCATCCAATGGGAGGGATGGAGGCCCTGCCACAATCGTGTGGCCCAAACGTCAGACGGCGACCGTGTCATTTGCACCACCTCTCGCAAGCCTTGGGGGGCGCGGCGTCTACTTGAAAGGACGCCGGCACCACCACGACGACGACGAAGACGACGACGACGACTACGAAGACAAGGAGGAGGGGGAGGAGGAGGATGAGGAGGAGGAGGAGGAGGAGGAGGAGGAGGATTTCGCTGCCCTGATTCACGCAGCTGCGAAACGCGCACCGGAACGACGAAACCAAGCGTCTGCTAACCTGGGCCGTGCCTGGGCGAAACATTTCGGCTTTCACATCATGTGCGCAATTGAACAAATTAACCGCCGCGTGTCTCACAGCGGCAGCGCGCTCCGCGCGCCGCCGCGTGAGCCTGTGGCCGCCGCCGCCTCCGCACCCCGTGAGAGCCGCCATGCTACCCCCGGGCGCCCTGTTTCGCCTGCTTGCCTTGCTTCTCGCGGAATCTGCGATTGGCGGCACGGATCTCCTCATTGTCATCGGGCGCGTCGCGCTCCCACGGCGGGACCTTCACCACCTTCACCTTCATCGCGATGGCGTCGACGATGCCCACATCCTCCTTCCGGACTCGTCTACGACTGGGGTCAAAGACTTGCGAGCCAGGATGGGTTTGGCTATGCCCTCATCCTCCTTCAGCCTTTCCTCAAACTCGTCCCCTGCTGGGTTCACGGACTCGCGAAACCCGTGCTGCATCGTCGTCTCGTTCTTCTCTTCACCATCGGCCTCGATGATGCGCCCATCACAGTCTTGTCCGACTTGTCCGCAGAGACCTTCATCTTGAACTCGGACCTGCTGGTGTGCTTGGGGTGCACCGCCATCGTTTTCTTCGACATCATGTAGGAGGTCATGGGGTTGTCCCTCACTGCGCCAACAGGGTGCTCACCATGTTGGCAGACCAGACGTACTCCGATGTCGTCCTCGTCGACCTGTTCCCCCTCGATGACGACGTCCTTCTCCTCAAAAGCTGCCCGCACAAACGCCGCCGTCAGCGCCACCTTCCGGGTCGGCGCCTCATTCAGCCGCGCCCGCAGCTTGACCTTGTCATTCATGGGCACCTCATCGAGCTTCGGCTTGGGGTCGAGTGGAGCGCCCCCCGTTGCGGAGCGCTTCTCGGTCTGCGCCCTGAAGAGCCCGCGAACGGTGCCGCAGAGCCCCACGTCGGAATGGCCCGCCGCGTTGCGCGCCTTGCTGAGGCGCTCCAGCCTCGCGGCCAAGGAGGCCCCGGGCTGCCCACGCCGCGCCCCACCTCGAGCGCCTCCTCCGTGCGCGTCGGGAGGCCGTTACCATCACCTCGAACACCATCGCCGGCAGCGGCCTGCCACTGGGCGCCATGAACAGCGCCGCGAGCAGCCGCAGCGATGAGCGCGACGAGCTGCTTGCCCGTCACGCCCGCCTCCAGCATGGCGGCGGCTGCGGCGAATTGAGCAGGGACCGACCGTCCCAGCATTCCTATAGTCCTACCACGAAGTGTTCTCAGAACACAAAAATGTTCTAACAAAACAACGTTCTTAGAACATAAACCCGATGAGTTAAAACAAGACAATCTCCGCCAGAAACGTTCTGAGAACATTTCGCGGAAACCACACAGACGGTCTTAGAACACGGTTTGGTAGGCCTATCGGCGAGCCAGGACGCTTCGCCACTGCCTGCACGACGGTGCTTGCCGCAGACCGGCGCTGCACCAGCGCCTCGGACAGCGCCGCCATGCCCGCCGCACCGCCACTGCACGGCCCCATGGAGCACGGCCGCCCGCGCCAAGGGCGGCCCGCCGCCTGCCAGCTCGGCGCCCCGAGCGGAGCCAAAACTGGCCAGGGGGAGGAGGAGGAGGAGGAGGAGGAGGAGAAGGAGGAGGAGGAGGAGGAGGAGGAGGAGGAGGAGGAGGAGGAGGAGGTGGAGGAGGAATGGCGATGATGAGGTTGATGATGAGACGACGGCGACGGCGACCGCGACGGCGACGGCGACGACGACGCTGCTGACGATGACGCTGACGACGACGACGACGCTGACGATGGCGACGACGGCGACGACGAGGACGACAATCGCCTCCAGAGGGTCATCTGCGAAGTGGGTGGGCCTTGCGGCGGCGCGCAGGAGGGAGCGGCGCGAGGGGGCGGCCTTCTGGGGAAACAACGGGCTTCCCAGAAGGGGCTGGAGGCTCCTGAGCCGTGCTACCTGAAGGAGCGGAGAGGAGCGGTGACCAAACATCAATCCAACGGGACGGCTCCGTAGAGCGCGACGCGCACGGACAGGCCGGAAATGGATCAGACACTTACGAAGGGGCCCAGTAACACACAAACAGATAGACACAAATCCCAGGATCCCTCATATGGTTCAATATGTCCACTCCACTTCCCATATTTTCCTATACTTTCTTGGGCAGCTACGATGGTTTGTGTCCATGCGTTTCTCCCTCCTGAGCTGACTCCTTGAAGCATTGACGAACCATGCGGCATGGCAGAAACGGCACAGAAGGAAGGATCGGGGAAGGGGGACGAGGAGAGAGCGAGGAGCACCACAAGACACGGCGCACGTCTTCCAGGGCCCGAGGGGATCTTGGGACCAAGACTCAGGTCGGGCATGTCCTCCGACAGGCGGATTTTGGGATGAGACATAAACCGCGGTCAACACACATATTCAAAGCATGCTGAATAAAATTTAGCATGTCGTCCCCAGACTATGCATGTTTCGACGATGCTACGTGTATCCCTCCTGTAGAGGGACATTCCCGACTCGAGACCCAGACCCCGCACGCCCACGGAGCCCGGGCAGGGACCCGGGGGGCGCCCCGGGGCAGGGGCGCCGCGGCGCAGGACACGAAGGACGACCCGCCCAGCCACGGCGGGTCCCAGGGCCACGCGCAGACCCCCGACCTGGCTCCGAGGAACGGCTGTGAGGGGCCACGGCACCGTTGGGCGTGGCTTAACGGGGGGGTCACAAATGGGGGGGTCAGAAACGGTCCCCTTTCGTGCCCCTTTCGGGCCCCTCCGGAGCCCCAGGGGGCTCGTTTAGGTACCGTTTGGGTACCTTTTCGGACCACGCTCGCCACCCCCCCCATTTATGACCCCCCCCTCATTACGCAGCGCCCAAGGCACGGGGGGGGGGAATTGAGCACCGGGTAGGGAGCCCACAAGGGACGTGCGCGCCCAACTGTGTACATGAACGCGGCCCCTCGATCCGCGAGACCCACCGCGTGATGCGAGCATTCGCGCAAGGCGTGCTCTCGAAACCAGCGTGGATGCATGTACGTGTGCGTCCTTCTTTCGCTCCCGACAGGGGGGGGGGGTCTCGACCTGGAACCGGCGGTATATCGTCGACAGATCGGCGATAGGCCCCCGACAAGCGAATCCGCACCTTCCTGGGCGAGACGGGGCTATCGGGCCCCTATCGGCGACCAATGGGCGACTGGGGGCCGATGCATCCCCCCTGTGCCTGTTCCCCCTATCGTTGCCCCCGAGGCTGGAGAGCCAGGACCCTTCCTGAGCCCAGAGTGGCCCTCGTATCAGCGCCTTTGAAGGGGCCCTGGGACACACAAACAAATACACACAAACAAAATAATTCCCTATATTTTCTTGTATTTTCTGGGTTTGTGTCTTCCCCCCCACTTCCCATATTTTCCCATATCTTCTGGGGGATCGACGATTAATTGTGTCCGTGTGTTTTTTTCCCTCCTGAGCCTTGGCTGGCACGGCCCCTCCGCGCCTCTCAGCAGCCGCCTGCCTCCTTTGAGCAGGCCGCCCCCCTCGCCCCACCCCAAGCCAGGACGACGCCCCTCTCGGCTCGGGACGACTCTGAGGTCGGGCATGTCCCACTACAGGCGGACTTTGGACGAAAAATTAAAAGTAGTCAAGCAATGCCCCGAACATGCTCCAATAATAATAATAATAATAATAATGGGGAAATCGTCCCCAAACAATTTGTCAGCACGCTTGAACATTCCTCCTGTAGAGGGACGTGCCCGGCTTAAGACGACTCCAAATTCCCACGGAGGCGGCTGTCGACGAGGCGCCAAATGGCGGAAACCATCCCGGGCACCGAACCCCTAGGCGAACCTTACCGTCAACATTTGAGGAAAGCCCTCCGTTCCAAACCGGCTCCCGGCCCCCTCCTGGGGCAATTTCCAGGCCAGCTTCTCGAGCGGTGCCCGGCCCCCAACAAATTAGGACTGTAATGGGCAACACCCGCTAGAGTGTGTAGGCACCGCCAACACCAGAAAACGCTCGAAAAAGTGAAAACCCACTTAAAATCCATAGCCTCAAAAAACTATCAAAAAAGTATAGAAAATCGGTCGCGTACGAAACACTGTAAGGAACCCTGGTTGCTGGCGCCAACTTGCAAACTGCTGGAGGCTTCTACGACGCAAGGCATCAGGATTTCAGGACGGCTGATGCGCGCGAAACCATGCGCGAATAGAATGGATGGCACGAGAAGCGTGAGGTGTAGATGGCTCGCGCAGCGTGAGGTACGGGAAACGCGTTTTACGGTGGCCACGCGGCGAACAGAATTCCCAGGGCTGGCGGGAACGGGCACAGGCCAGCAGAGAAGCGGCGAAGCCTGGCACATCCAAGCACGGGCCAGCCAAGAAGCGGCACGGCGGGCACAGGGAGGACCGAAGCGGAGATCGAATCTGACCGATGAAGGATCGCAGGGAGTAAGCTCGGAGAGGGCTCCCAGCTCACCACCTTCTCTTCATGATCCTGGCCCTCCCCCTGTTCATTCCTTAACCCCCCTTCCTCTCCTCCCGCGCCCGCCCCCCCTCTTCCTCCTCGCCGCGTGCCTCCCCGTCCCCCGCGTCTACCTAGCGACCGCAGTCGCCCAGTGAAGCCGCCGCCCTCAGTCGCTCGACACAAACTCGGAGTCCGAGCATTCCCCCTCCTCCTGATGCTGCAGGGGCTCGGGCGCAGCCGCCGACGACGACGCGGCCCCCTCGAGCGCCGCGGGGTCCACCAAGCGCTTCACGTCGCCGTGCGGGAAGGCCTTGACCAAGAAGTGCCGCGGCTTGGCGGATTTCTTGATCGTCTTCCCGCTCTTCAACTGGGAGACTTGATCGAGCGGTCTCTGCGCATCACGGAGCGAGGATGTCTCAAGCGAAAGCCGCCAGCATGACCAAACACATTGCACCGCGACTCCCACGGGAATGCGATGCGAATGACGTCACAAGCGAAACTGGCACCCCTGAAACGCAGCAGGCCGCGCGAACGATCTCGATGGAGGAGGGGGGGGGCAGCGGGGGAGGAGGAAGGGAGGAAGTGGACAAGGAGATGGGGGGTTAAACAGGAGGGGGGGAGAAAGAGGATGAGGAGGGGGAGGAACGCTCGAGAAAACAGCCCCACCAATCTATCTCAGTTGTTCACTTCCTGTTCGACTGTGTCCCTCCTCCACCTAACACGTCCTGACCCCCCCCCCTCCTCCTCTTTCTCATAGTCTTCCTCCTCCTCCTCTTACTCCCTCCTCCTCCTCCTCCTTCTGATTCGGACCCCAGTCCAAATGGGAAAATATGGTCCGTGATCGTCTTCTCCGCCTCTGCGGGCATCAGCTTCGCCGTCATCTTGACGAGGCCTGGGAGGGCGAACGCCTGCTTGTCGAGCAGCTCCCTGGCACCCACGGTCTCCAGGGCGTGCAGCACCTTCGAGACGTTCGCGTAGCCGACCTCTGCGAGGCGAACCGTCGGCCTGGGCCCCGAAGCGCCCTAAGCGACCGAAGACTCGCCCCTGTCCGCAGACGAGAGCGCCAATTCGATCGCCAAGGGAACTTCGGAACCCAGGGTGGAGATTCGGTCTCGGGGGCCCCCTCGCAACGGTAGCCGTGCATGTCCAGCCTCGTCTCCTCGTTGATCGCCGTGACCAGCTTGAAGCGGCTCAAGGCGACCTTCGAGGGCGACAGCTTCGCTGGGGCGGCGGCGTCCGAAGGCTGCGGCTCGGCCGCGTCGGCAGGCGCGACGTTGGGCGCACCAGCATCAGCCATGGGCCCCGATCCCACTGAGCGTGAAGGCCAATCTCCCCACTCGGGAAGATCCGAAAACTCGAAGACACGAAGCTCGGACCTTGATCCAATGTCTTCGGAAGCAGGGCGCGACCCGAAGCCCTTGGATGGGACCCAACCTCAGCGTCAAAATGCACCCTTCCCCCTGAAAGCCGAATCGAACCAGGACCAGGGAGGGGGCGTACTAGAGGGGTGAGGGGGGGGGGGGCTGGCAAGGATAGGAGACTGCAGATCTGCACGACCCCCATGCACGCGGTAGGGGGGGGAGGGAGGAGTCGGGGGCGGGGAGGGGCGACAAGGTCCATTGATCCCCCATCTTAGTTCTAAGCCTCATGTGCGAGTCCCTCCTCCTCCTCTTCCTCCCCCCTCTTTCCTGCCCTCCTCTACGTACATCTCCTCATCTCGTATCCCTAATCACTCCTGGTCCTAAGGCATCCACCTCGCATTGGTTTCAGCGCCCAAGTTAGCGCGAGGGTCGGTGAGCCCGAACGCGCGCGAACGCATCCCAGGATGTTGGTGCCACCGAGGCGCAAACCCACAACTGATTTTGAAAATGACCGAACTCTCAGGCCAACTTGAGATTCGAACTCGCCCAACGCTTTTCAAACGACGGGAACCCGACTGAAACATTGGAAACGGCATGGGCGCCAAGAGAAAGGAGGAGCATACTGTGATTTCCCTTCGAGCTGGCTGGCAGCACCGCCATGTCCAGCCTAGCGCCCTCTCGAGGGCAACATATGGAAGCACGCAGCCACCACTGCGCGCGAATGAAGGCCAGCACCTGGCCGTCTCCTCAGATGGCCTGCAACTTCAGGGCGGCGCGGTACTTTGCCAAAATCACATCGTCCATGTCGACGGGCAGGACCTTCCACTTGGCGAGCTCCTTCTGCACCGCCACGCACTGCCCGCGCAACCAGACCTTGTCCTTGCACCTCGTATCGCAGAACGCCTGCATGAGCTGGATCTCGCAACCCACGATGGCAACTTTCTTCGTCAAGTCTGGCGTCGTGCCGATCAGATCAGCGTCGGGTTTCAGCGCCATGTCCTCGGCGTACTCGGTCACCGCAGTCTGCGCCTACGAGGCGAGCAACAGCAAGACAGGACGAGAAACGTGAGAGAGATGGGAGCAATAACGCCAGTATCAGAAGGAAGCGTGATGGAGAACAGAAACATTGAACCTTGAAGCGGGGAAAGGGGAGTAAGGACACGATGCTACACACGGAAGAAGCATCGAGCGCCTGCTCGATGTTGCCCAACGCGTTGAAGATGCCATCCACGCTCGCGCCGTCCAGGAGCTCCTGCGCCTTGGCCTTCAGGTCCTCCCAAGTGAGCTTGTCCCTCTCCACCCAGCCCATCAGGTCCGAATTGTCGACGGAGAGGCTCTGCGCCTTCAAGCGAGCGCCCGCCAAGACGAACTCCCGCCTCTTCAAGCAAGCCTGCGTCACGCGCATGCACAAGCCCGTCGAGACGTCCACGATAGACGTTGCCCTGTCTTGGAAGATCGATGCCACCTCTCCAGACAAAATGACCTCGTCGTCGAACTTCATCTTCAGCATCTTCGTCACTTTGGCCAGCTCCCTCTTCACGGCCGATGCCTGCTTCTCGGACGTGGAGCCAGAGTCGCCGTCGCAGTCATCGACCACTGTCACATTCAACATAGCGGTCTCGCGCTGCAACTTCATGAGCGCCCTCGAGGTAGACAGGACCACTTCCGCCTTCTTGCGCAAATCCTTGCGCATGAACCCAACCAGCACGCCCTCAAACTCCATGCTCGAGTCGGTGGGCGAGCGATTCGAGGCTGGCGTGAAGTCCCTCTCGGCGAGCATCTTGACATGAGAAGCGAAATAGCCAGCCATTTCAGCATGATCTGCCTCCGCCAACGCATCCGAATCTATCCCTTGGGCCATGTCAAGCAGCTCCGTGACGTCTATACTCTCGCCAGCGTTCGCCTTTGTGATGACCTTCTTGACGGCGTGAACCTTGGCGCGCGAGTCGGCGTCCCCGATGATCTTGCCGATGTCCCGCATCTCCTGCATCAGGTTCTCAAAAGACGGGCACGAGTCCGCAGCCTCAGCGAGCAACGCCTTGTATGCGGACATCAGCTCCAACTCCTCCTCAGAAATCTCACCGCCCTCCGGTTGCCCAGCACCACCCCTTGTCCAGTGCTGGACCGCGTGGGCGAGCTTGTTCATCGCAACGCTCTCGAGCTCGTCGGCGGCGCCAGGTGCCAAAGCAGCGCGCAAGAAAGGAAGCTCGCCAACAGCAGATTTGGCCAGGGCCAAGAACGCCTGTGTCGGGGTAGGCGCCTCGTGCTTCTGGAAATCCCGTAGAAACTGCGAGACCTTCGGCGCGTGTGTCTTCATCTGGTCGTTCTTTCTCGCTGCTGTCATCAGGCGCGCCTTCCACCATGCATTGTCGCCAATGGCAATGGCCACGCTGGTCATCAAGTTGCCCCTCTTAGTCGTCTGGTGAGCTGCCTGCTCCATGGCTTTCACGTCATCAAAGAGGGCAATGTCAGTGTTGTGGCTGATGTTCTGGTCGCTGATATACCTCAAGACGCCGACGGCACGCTGCGCGTCCACCAATACCTGGGCTGCTTCATCGGCAATGTGTGCGTCAGTAGGAAGCTCCCACGCCTCGATTACGGCGTGCGCGAACTCCAGGACGAGCGGTTCCTTCTCCTCCCCAGCCCCAATCCACTTCACAAGGTGGTCGCCGAACACCATGTTCTGGAAGGCCTCGGTCAGCTCGGGGGTAACGAGATCCATATCGATCAAGCGCGGGCTCGCCCACTGGAACTCCGAACCGTCCTTCTGCTGCCAAAGCTGCAACATGCCCAAAGCACGCCTCAGACAGTGTTGACCGTGGACCTCTCGCGGTGCTTTCTCGAAATCGTCCCAACAAGGCTGTGTCTTCCTGCGCAGGATCTCCATGTGGGTGACGGGAAGGAAGTGCAAGCCTGACGACTCGAACACCTGGCAGGACTCCTGGAAGTCCTGATCAGAAAGCTTCTCCATGGAGCCTGGGACAAACTGCATGGCCCTGTCATACAGCTTCATGTGCGCGGCCAGGCGGTTCCGATCATCGCCGACGGGGAGCTTGTTGTGCAAGAGCTTCGCCTGATTGTACTCGCTCCCGAGCCGCTTGCCAGCGGCGACCTGGCGAATGGGCAGCTTCGCAATCCAATAGTCTGCCGTGCCCTTCTTGATGTTCGGGTCGACCTGCCCGTCATCATCTGCAGCTGGCCTCTTCGAAGCGGACGCTGGTCGGGGGCCTGAAGCGGTCTTGGCACACGACGCCCCCTTGGAGACCTTGGCTGGGGTGGGGGAGCGGCGAGGCACGTGCTTCTCGGGGTCGTCACTCTCGCCCAAGCGAAGGCAGCTCGAAGACCGCCTGGTCGCAAGCTTCTTGCTTGACTCCGCTTGGTGAGCATCCTCGCTGCCTGATCCTGAGTGGAGCCCCTCCTCCTCCTCGCCCTCCGCGAAGCCATCGTCGCTGGCACCACCGCCCGCTGGCAAGTCCGCAGCGGGCGCATCTGGAAGCTCGTCGCCGCTGCCGACGGCCTTCGATAC